GGAGGGGGAGGGGTGGGTGGATGGCTAAAGGGAGTGATGAATTGAACTCTGCTCTGGGACGGGCCGAGCCCAGCAGTCCTATCTCAGACCTGTGGGGTGGAACGCAGGACTGCGGATAGAGATAATGCGAGTTGGGTGCGTCCAAAGGGTTGCCCCCCCCCCCCTTTCCGGGTACCGTTAGGTTGATACCAGCTGCTACCTGCGCCAGCTAGGCTCCGACCCCTGCCCCAACAACAAACCATTTGGCGACGTCGCACGATGTTTCGGCTCGGCAGCATCTTCTCGAAGCAGACCTACCTGCTGCTCTCCTCAAACTCCAGGCTGCATTACTCCTTTGTGAACGGACAACCTCAGAAGGGAATAACCGAACGCCACCCCACGGCAGCCAAAATATCGAGATTCGGGACGCACCCACTCGACTTTCTGTTTGCGCACGCCTTCCTGCAGAGGATCCCGTACACGTAGCCGGTGCGGCCGACATGGTCCCCAAAGCGTGGCTCGGCGCGGCGACAGGAAGGGCATCAGGGGGCAGGGCCGCGCGGGGCGGGGCCGCCAGGGGCCGCCAGGACAGTCAGAGCGCGCATCAGGACGCGTAATTTTCCGGTACCTCGCGCACGGTCGCCGCGTACACGGCGGCGTACGCAGGTGCAGTGGAGAGAGGGAGCGAGAGAGAGATGGGAGGGGGGGGGGAGGAGGTGAGAGAGGGAAAGAGCAGGGGCGGATAGTGTCGGGGCGCTCACGCACACAGACACACAGCGCGAGCATGCGTCTGCGAGTTAACAGTATGCACGGCTACGGCAGGGGCACGGGCCACTCTCTCGTGACAGCAGCAGTAGTGCGGTCTGCATCTCGCCGACTCCGGCGCGTCTCTCTCTCTCGCGGAGCCGCGGCGGAGCACGGCCGTATGCGTGCGCGCGCGCGCGCGTTTTGTTTCAATCATTACCCGGCTCAAGTGGACATGCTTTCGCTGCCGGCCATGCCCGCGACGCCGTCGCAGCCGGTCAGCGGCGCACGGGGGTGGTGGTGAGAGCCGCAGAGCAGCCCGCGCACGCCCCGGGCCCGGCCACGCGACGGACGCCGTGTGACGCTCATGTGACACGCCACTGCCCCGCGGGTCCAGCGCGTCCAGGGGGAGGACGGCCCCAGACTCGTCTTGGCACAATGCTGCGCAGGACGCCGTCGATGCCGGAGCCGAGCAGCGCGTCGCACGCGTCACCGTTATACCCCTTTTCGTTGATGGTCGTGGAGGCCCTTGCTTGAAGCGGGCCGACACGTCCCCCCGACACGAGGCCGTGATCCTGGAGGTGACTCCCGTCGACGCCAGCGAGGGTCTTGTGCATCAGGTAAGCCACACCTTCCCACAGCACGCTAGTGCCTGTGCAGCGGACAATGGCGCTCTACACATACCCTTCAAAAAAGGGCAGGGGGTGCAAGTCCCAAAAACTGCGGAAAGCCGGAAAATTCTGAAGTCGCAGCTTTGCTTCCCTCGTTGTGGTGGTTGTCGTGCAGCAGATGATCCAGTCTGCCTAGAGGTGCTCGGCTGACCTTGCCCTTCACCATGAGCCGCGCGCTGGGGGCCGCGCCGCCCCCCTGGCCCCGGCCTCCGCAGCTGCTGCAGCTGCTACTCCTGGCGCTGCTGCCCATTTTCGCCCTGGGGGGCCAGGACGAGTCCTCCGGCGGAGACCTCGACTACGAGGACAGCGAGGAGCAGGAGCACAAGGACGTCAGCACGTCCAACGGACACTCGTGTGAGTACCGCCTGTAAAGGCAATACTCCCCAGTGTTGCGGGTTTGCCTACCCGATCTGCCCGAAAGGCGCCGTAGCCCCATGGGTAAGCAAAGCCGCAACACTGGGGAGTATTATCCTTTACTCTCGGTACAGCGACCGGAGCACATGCCCTCCTCCAGGACCCCACCGCACACATTCGCTCACGGCCACGTTTCTCTGCCGGCAGTAGTGCTTGACTTCAGCTCGCTGAGCGTGCTGGCCGCCCTCAAGCTCAAGCTGGTCGTGGTGCTGCTCGTGGTGGCGGCCGTGTACCTGCTCATGACCAAGAGCTACAAGACGCAGTGCCTGTTCGGCAGCTGCCGCCCCAACTATTCCACCTATGGCTACTACCCCTACGTGGACTACACGTATGTGGGCTACGAGGTGCCTGCAGGCTCGTCCCGGCACCCCTCAACTCCCGTGGCCCTGGGGCAGGGCCCCGCTGGGTTGGGCATCAAGGACTCGCCGCACCTGGCTGACCTCACGGCCCGCGTGTGGAATAGGTGAGTGAGGGGGGGGGGGGACTAAAGGCTCCAGTGTCGTCCTCAGTTAAATTTAAAAAAATCAAAAGTGTCAACATTTGACCCCGAGGTACAAAGGGGAACCCAAAGTATAGTGTAACCGTTTTTCAATGAAATGGCGTGTGGGAAAAAGAGTGGGATACTTTTCCAGTCGCAGATACCAGACTGGTTCTTATGTAGGGCGGTTGTGCCTCACTTACACAGCCGCACCCTGGAGAGGGGGAGGCGGTATTTTACGAACCCAACCCAAACGCTCTGGGTGCCTGCTACTCATGACCTCAACTCCTGTGAATTACATTGTGTTCAGCATTGACATCGCCAGCATGGCGTTCAGCGCACTCAACATTCAGGAGGACGACTGCAGGCGGAAGCTCGTGTGCCAGGCGGACCGCGCGGCCGCGTCCAATCCCATCCTGCGTGCTGCGCTGTCTTGGTTCAGGTGAGGGAGGTGGTCAGGCAGGCAGCGCAAGCAAACAGACAGAGAAAAATTATCATTTTTCAAAATGCATCAAAATAAAAAAAAATATCTCTAAAAAAGTGAACAACAGTGCTAATGGCATGATGGCGATAGGAAAATAGAGTTAATATGTTGCTGGCTGAACCTCATCTTACGACAAAACGTTCTTGAGCCGCTTGTCGTTGGGCCAAAGGACAGTGTTGCACGGTCACCAACATGGTGTTCTAGTGGCCGATCCCAGAACAAATTTCTGTCAAGGATGTTACAGCTGTCCTTCGCACCATAGTATTTTTTTTCAGTTTCAAACAAAAGAAACAAGCTCGCATGAAGCCATGCCGGTGACGTTTGCCTTACGCGAGCCGGCGCCAGTGCCGAAAGGCGCCGGTTAAGGAGGTTAAGGTGCCCCGAGAATTAACATCTGTCGAGGTGACGTGCGGACGTGCGGGGCCGTTGTATGTCAAGGCAGGACTTGTTCTTGATCAAATAACGTTCTCTTGCTCGGCTGTGAGCTAGCTCCCGCACTTGCGGTCAGGGCGGGCCGCCGTCTTTACGCAGCTGCTTGGCGGGTTGGCCTACCCCGCGAGTAGCAGGCGGCAGGCGGCAGGCGCTATCGTAGGCGAGCATTGCGGCGGGGATTTCCTTCGACAAATAACGAACCAAATATCTCTGACCAGAGAAGTTTCGTGGCACTGTATTACTGTATAACTACAAAAGAGGAGGGGTCCGCGGGCGATTCTATAATTTGACACACATGTTGCAGCCCCAGCCTGGCGCGCTACCGCACGGACCGTTCCAGGCCGGAGGACGGCGCGGGCGCCGACCTGCAGTGGCTGCGGGAGGACCCTGGAGACCCCTGCGAGGAGATGTACCCGCAGTGCCGGCACCGGGACCTGCCTCCCGCCCTGGGCGGCCCGGAACTTTCGGGCCCCGCCGTCTACCACCTCGAGGAACCTGCTGCCGTGGGGTCCCTAGGGACGCCGGCGCAGCTGCACCAGCCTGGTGGCCACCAGCACCTCCATCTAGAGCAGGCGCTGGGCCCGGCTCTGGTCCCAGCCGAGCAGTCTTGGCACCGGGGCGCTCATTCCTCGGCCCACGCCCAGCTGTACCGCCACAACAAGTACGAGTACGAGGCGACGCACCCGTCCTACCTGCAGCCGTACAAACCGCTCGCGGAGGCTCCCCCACCGGCCAGCACCGCACCGACAGCCCCCGCCCGTGACGTGGCCAGCCCCGGCCAGAAAAACGCAGAGAACGACGACATTTTAATTCTGGACGGAGCGGCGGCCTCAGCCGCGGGGGTCGCGGTTCAGGCGCCAGAGAGGCAGGATGCCGCCGATGGCGGCGCCGCAAGCAGGTCGCCCTCCTCGCTTTGGGTGGGCGTGGTCGGAGAGCAGGCCAGCCCGGGCGGTGGCGCCTCTCTGGAGCCACGACCCCCTGCGGCGGCTGCCCTGGCGCCCCAGGTATGGAGGCGGATGCTGCCCGCCCCCACCGGGACACAGACCAAGTCGCACAGCGACTAGTGTAGAGGGTGCGCCTCGGTCACTCGCACTCGACCATCTCCTCCTCAAAAAAACTATGCCTCAATCCTTTCAGAATGCTCGCATGTAGTCTAAGGTAGTCAGTTTGTAAAAAAGTGACGAGGGGCGGTATGGTAGTTGTACTAGCAGCAGAAAAGTCAAATACAGTATTAGTGGTTTGAAATTGAATTTATTCAATATTTTTTCCTGTACATAAAGTCAAAATCCCTAAAACTGTTACTTTTAGAATGACGG